GTAACACAAATATTTTTGTAGATGTTTTCTTAAAAACTTCACTCTAAAACTCCCTGATATATGGTAGCAAATAACCAATGGAAAACAGGACTACTTTAAAATAAAAGGGAAACTACATTACTACATATAGATACATGTGAAAGCGGGTATCTGTATGAAAGAATTCATAGTAAGTGGAACAGGTGCTCACTCACTGAGGCAATTCTTGCTTTTCATCATACTTCCTTCTCATTGCTACCATGTAAGTACTTAACCATTGTCCAGGCTTTCTTCTTTCACCCTGTCAAAAGAAAAGAAAGATGTTTCTGTATATAATATTTACCATCACTCGGCAAGCAACTATGCAGAATTGCCTCATGTACAACCTATGTGGAATTATCAAGATTTTGTTTCTTCTTTTTTTAGAAAATTGTCTTGTCTTTTATTGTTACAACTTCTGTTATAACACTATTGTGCCTTTTTAGTCTATGGCATGATTATGAAGGACTGCCATCACATCTAAAATCACATACAAAATATCAGAATAAATTTGCATTATGCCAAGCTATTTCTACAAGTTTCTTGGTTTTCCTGAAAATCAGATCATGTATTAGTTTGACATCTTCATGTTAATTCAGAAGGAAGTGTTGCAGTGGACTGAAGCCATCTAACCAGCAGTTATTCTATTTTATGACATCATCCAAGTTCCAGAGCTTTGGGTTTGTTCCCTATTGAAAAATAAACTCCAAAAGAGAAATTTTCCAGTAGTTTGGGCATGATTTTATTTTACATGGCTAGTCATGGCTTGAATTACTTTAGTTTCCAAACTGGGCTCTTGTTCCCTCTCCCTGATCAGTATCTTCCTGTGGGCAGTTTCATTGAAACAGATTCATCTGCGGTGTAACTGAATTAAAATGTTCTGACCTATGCTGTATTTCAAGTGTAAGCCATTTGCTCAGCAGTACACAAAATCCAAAGGCAGCACAAATGCCACTCCTAAGACTCAATAGATTAGTGCTAGTGAGCATTGGTGGGTGCATGTATCAGCAAGGCTTTAAATACTCACCTTGCAAGAGACAGCAATAACAGTAAACCGGTCCTTAGGAACTTGGAGCACCTTGGGCATCACTTGTCTTCTAACATAGGCTGCCAAGGGCTTGCACATCACACAGGTTTAGAGAGAACAGAAGATACAAGACGTCTATGAAGGTCATGGGTCAGCAAAAGGGCCTGAGAGAGCTTCCAGTGGCCATCAGTTCTCTCAGAAGGGGCAGGGCCCCCTCAAGTCAGTGTTGTACCACCTACTGGCAGGAGGAGCCTCTCCTCCTGCGTACTCACCCCTGGCCACATAGCTGGGTCTGTGGCCATCCTCCATCCTTTCCTTTTCAGGTCTTAACACATATGGAGCTATGGGCAAGCAGCAGCAGCACCTCACGGGCATCAGAGCACTAACCCAAGTGGTGCAGGGGGCTGCTCCCATCTTTCCAGCTATTGCCTCCAGCGGCTGAATGCTGAGGTGCCACCACATTTCAGCAGAGGTCATTTATGTAGCTTTTGCTGCAACAATGGGGGCTAGAAACATACCTTTACTTTCCTTAAAAAAACATAATTAAAAAAAATTCTCCATGTACTAGACCCCAAACCTCTGCCTGATCTGAGCTGTGACATAGGCACCCATTGCTCTCTAGCAGGCAATAGACAAGTTTATTTTGCTACCAAAAGTGATGTAGCTGTCCTTTACCCATAGAAAACAGCTATCTCTTAGGGTTTCCAAAATACAGCCCTTGGCTTTATATTACTGAAGCCAGTTGGCAGCCGCAAAGACCACTATCACAGCAAAGTTTAGAAAAGCATCCCAATATCTCTGGCACTACTGCCACCTTTATTCACCGTAAATTTGATTGACCAATATTTATCAGCCACTAATAAAGCTATTTTAATCTGCATGGAATTCATATCAAACTGGAGGCTGGCAAAAAACCAAAACAAAATAAAAAGACAACACTAATTTGTAGGAAAAGTGGCAGTTTCAGTCATTAAAAAAAGAAAAAACATCCACGCTCAGAAAATCATTACAGCTGAACTGACATTACCAAAGGTTAGGCATGCATCCTATAGTAATGACAACTCTTCCTAAGGCACAAGCAGAAATGTCAACAGCGGTTTATACCAGTTCAGCTTAACTTATATGACAGCAGAGCACTACATTTTTTTTTAAATAGAAGTTTATAGACATTCTTTATGCATGTTTATAGACATGTCACTAAGAAAATATTAGCTGGAAGTGTCTTTAAGGAAGGCAAAAATCTGTTACCAGGATTATGAAAAAAAGGTGCTTGTATTTTCATTAGTTTCAGTACATAGAAATGTCATTTGAAATGTCTTTAAATTATGCCAGAACCTCATAAATCTGCCTTCCATCAGCTGGATGAAAAACTGGCAGTATTTTTCATTTCTCAGGATATATTAAACACCAGACTCTGCATAGCTAAGATCAAATGTTCTTACAAGCTATGAGCTGAAGTGCCCCAGACACTGGGATGTTACCTACAAGTGACTTTTATTGCCAGCACAGGAAGGAGCCAGGCTGCTGCACCCACGGAGGATGCTGCTGGCGGCTGTTGCTAGATGGCCACCGACTCCTGAAGTTCTTTACTGATCCAGGACAGCCACAGTTGCCACCTTTCCTGGAACACCACTATGAGTAGCACATGGGCACAGGACCTATGTTAATTGTCAAGTGTGCTAATTAATCTGGCTGGGGAACAAGAGGAGCATCTGCTGCTGCGATTATTTGAGTAGATTTTGGGTTTACACTTTTGCAAAGGGAAGTTGCAGGCACTTGGGTCTGGCTGGTTGCTCTCTGGTGACATTCTGCAATGGAACTGCGAACTCATGCGAGCTGCAAAGGAAAGCAGAAACCTACTGCAGCTTACCACCTCATATGCATTGCCATGCATAAGTGCTGTCAGAAGTTTGTATTTCAACTTTCAAACATGTAGGGTGAGACTTTCAAGAGAGCTCTGGCTCTACTCACAGGGTCAAGACCAACCAAGTTCTTGCAGCTGCAACAGGAGCCAATGACTTTAAGAGTTTGATTTTAAATGCCAAGATTTCCCTCAAATTTTTATCTTACATTGCCTAAGCATATAGGGTGCCCTGAACATCTGAAAGCTTTTGGAAACCCAAGTCCTGTGATTTCCTGCTGTTCTCCATTCTGTGTACTATTTGATTGAATCTACGTTACTTACTTTAAGAGTAAACCACACACAGTGAAAAACACTGACACAGATTATAGGCAAAATAAATATTTTATTGGTTTAATATACACTTTTTTAAGAAATCAGCCCTTGTGTGTCTTCCTAACACAATTTAAAAATCTTATAAACTTTCTCATATAATATTGTTATATTTGAAACTATTTTTGATTAAAGACCTTGACATAGTGTAAAGAGTTTTTGTAGATGGAAATGGCAAAGGAGTAAAGACATTCCAAGCACAACAGAATGGGATATTACATATCCACTAAATGTCTGTTTGACCACATAAAACCTCCAATGACTTCCAATTTGCTCCATTGGAACAAACGTATGCTCACCAGGCTAATTGAAAATACACTCAGTGAGGGATGGGGAAGGAAAAGAGATTTTTTTTCCATTTTCCCCATGACACAAGCAAGGTCGTTCACCCATTCTAAGTTGCACATTCTAATTGCTTTCAGAAGATCAGTACTTTTTATTGCATTTTGGTTAATATGAAGCAGAAGACAACCTCTTTTGAGTTCTGAGTGCAGTCAACACAAAGACAAAAAACAGTGCTTAAAATAAGGCACTTTTCTATAGAGGGGTGGGCAAACAGTAAGGAAGCAAATAAAATTAGTTAAAAGTTGTTTTCTACACAAAGATAAGGCTTTCAGTGTCAGAACTTTAAGTAGTTTTAAGTAACCTCCTATCATTCTACCACTCTGCTAATAGTAACCGCGGCGAGAATTAACAGCGATTTTTACAATAGGATCATTTCCTTCTTTTGAAGTGGCACTAAGTAACAGCAGTGAAACCATTATTGGTCATTTCAAGCTCTTATAATGGATCAGTTATTGCACAATAAATACCTCACAGAGGTCAGTGTTTCGGGGGGCTTTTTTGTCGTGTTGGGGTTTGGTGGGTTTTTGGGGTTGGTTTTGTTTAGTTTTTGTTTTTTGTTCTTTTTTTGTTGTTGTTTGTTTTTTTGTTTTTTTTTTCTTTTTGTTAAAAAAAAGCTAGGCTGAACACATGTATGTTAGTTATAAATTGGTTACGTCTGGAAATCTTCAAGTTTCATGATATATGAAGACAAAGAAATTAGCTACATAAAAATTTACAACAGGGACATACAAATAAATACAAAACATTTCAGAGAGCCACAGTTTTTTTAAGGAAAACTTGCTTTCAGGAAAGTAATGAACTAAGTAAAGTGTCTAAGTCTTTACAGATGAACTCAAGGAAAGGTATGCATCATAGAACAAAGCGTTGAGTACAGTAGCCTATCTCAGCAGCTTTAACATCTCCTGAAGCAAAAATAACTTGACGCTTCCACCAGTGTATGCCGCCCCAAGCAGAATCCCACAGCATTTCGGACTACATCCAACCTTACGGAAAAGAGAAAGCAAGACAAATAGCTAAATTAGATTTTTAGAAGTCCACTCTATACACTTAAGTATGTATTTTGATAACAATTATTATCTCAGGCAGCGAAACTACATAAATCCTCTTGCATGATGCATTCACATGCAAAGTTACCACAGAGCACACTGAAACCAAAAAATCAAGGACCACCGACAGTAGACAGACCAAACTGTAAACCAGCTGATTTTGCAAAGGTATCCAGGATTATCAGTATGTTCTGTATTTAATGAACTTCTATTTTGATCACTTATATTTCAAGAGGGAAAATGCAAACAAAGCAAGCTTTAAGATAACCATGACATTTCATACGATTAAAAAAAATAAAAAAAAATAAAATCAATCTGGCTCCCAAACATTACCTGTAGTACCAATTTCATGGCTGCGTATCTTGTCTTGCAGTTGCAGATCTGCTTTGGGGTGATACAGCTGCTAACAATCCACTTACTATTTCTCGTCTTATTTCACCAACAATAGATTCCTTGATCTGAAAGGGATTAGCCAAAGTTTTAAGGTCAGTGAGTTACATAACCAATGGATAAAACTAAATGATATTACAGATATGCTTGACATTATCAGCATATGAAAACATATACCACCAAAACGTCAACTTCAAAAAATGCAAATAGAAAAACCTAAGAGGGGTTCTCTTGGAAAAAATAAAGTAAATTTAAAGTTCTTTCAAATCATATAAATGCAAACCAAATAGTTTTATTTTTCCAGGTGGTAAATATTTAAATACAAGTTTTACACTTAGGATAGCTAGTTTTATGTTAAGAAAAAAATACATTTCAACTATGCAAAGTTCTGAAAATAGCATTTCAAGATACAAACATCAAAAGCACCCCAAATGCATGGCTTTTTGTTATTAGTCATTATCTCCTGAAAAGAAGCCAGGACTGATCTGCCTCACAAACAGATTATGCAGTAGGAAAGGTTCAAGTCCATGAACATGAGCTGCTGTTTTCATACAAATCAAAAGGAGACAAATCCTAATTACATACTTTCAGCTGCAAAGATGGAGGACTTCAATAGTTGCTCACATCATCAGTTGGCCACTGCTATATGATCTGTATCAGCAAAGACGATTTTTCACTACATTGTGACAGAGCATTTACCCATTAAGTTTTACATGCAACAAAGCTAGGCGTTAGTAATAGCAGGCACCTGAGTGCGGCTAAGGCTAGAACAAAGAAAAAGCAGAGCACCGATAGCTACAGTAAAGGAAACAAATGAAAAAAGGATGCAAACCACAATTCTGCTAGAGCATATTATGTTGGAAAGGAGCAGGGCATTACAAAGAAAAATACTGGCTGCTCGCAAGTGCAAGAAATCTTTTGCATCGACACATTTACTGGATGGTCTTCAGGAAGGACTAACAAGTCAGATGCAGTTTCAAGGACAGGCAAGGACGACAATGTGAGAGAGTGCAGCAGGGTAAGAGCCAGAGCCTGGCTGCTGGGATCACTCACAGAAGCCCTCATCAAGCCCAGTTAAGTAATACAGTTTTCTTTTTCTCCCCTTTTCCTGGTGCGTCAAAAGGATTAAGCAACAACGTCAGAAGGGTGGCAACAGCATTAGCAACAGGTTATTTATCCCTTGTTCTCACTGGCAAGCAATTCAATCCCTAACCTATTAGTGGCAAAGTTCCTCGTTTCATTACTGCTTTGCATCAAGCAGAAATTTGGAGACTGTAATATCACTGGGAAACAGGTTTTCAGTTGGATTGTTTGCTGATTAACTGACAAAAGAAAAGTCAGTGTGCAACATGACCTGGTTTATTGACAGCCACAAGTCCTGAGGATGTCTATGCCAATGCACACAGAGATACACAAAGGATGTCTTAAGGACCACTGTCAATGAAGTAATGGCTTTGTGTTTCAGAAACGAGGCACAGGGAAACCTGTCACGCAGCACCCCAGCTGCCCAGCAGGCCACTGTCATAAGAGGGTCTGGCACTGCTCTTTCTCTCCACTTTTCTTCCCCAGTATCACATGGGGTGGGCCTGCGAGTACACTGCAGAACAGTCATTCTGTGCCCTTGTCTCACCGGATAGACAAAAATAAACCTTGCTTTCCAAAGAAAACTGATAAAAGCTTCCCAAATTAGCAAGTAAATGGTCTAGTACAACAGACAGTCTTGTGGCAAGGCAGAGACTGGAAGGGAAGCGGCTCCTTTTCTATTCTCAGCTCTTTCAACGACTTCTGGCTTGACCTTGGTAAATCACTTGAGCTCCCCGATTCTCACCTTTGTACCCAGACGACAAGGCCACCCCCCACTGCTTCTTTTCACTGCCACTGCTTCCTCCCTTCTTTCCAGACACATCAAGGTAATTCTTGCAAACAGACTGTGGCATTGATTCCTGCAGTGACTCAGTCCCATGTGTGTGTCATGACAATGGCCAATGTTTGCCTTTTTCTTTATAAATGATTTAAGGCAAGGTGCACCTTCCATTTGCTCTGCAGAAGGCAGAGTTAGCTGCCAACGCTTCTCCATACAGAAGACTGAAAGCAGTCAATGAACACTCCACTGGTATTTTTAGCAGCTGAATGAAAAATTGATCATTTGAAAGAGGAGAGAACCCACTCATTTATGGTACATATACTATGTTGATACAACACTAATATTCAATATTGCATTAATAACACAGTACCACAGGTATATATAGTTTTACTACAGTAAACCAATGGTCTCAGAGCTCCCTATGTAAGAATTACCTTTACTGTAATTTTATGTTGCTGCTAAATAATGAACTGATTGAGAGTGAAATGTGCCACAGTGGCTATTCTGGAGATGGGTGTTCTTCACCTACTGATGGAAAATGGGTGTAAGGCTTTTCACAGCCCTCATACTCCTGATGTGAGGTACATTTTCTATAATTACAATAAATATTTTCTATGCCATTTTCCTTCTTGTGCCACTTCTTCATAGCACCAGCTAGTGAGTTTTTACGCTCAAGATAGTAAGATAAGGAATACAATGCCTGCACAAGGGAAGTATGAACAACCAACAGACATTTTTGATTGGTGCTGAGCTAACGTAGACTTGAGTGGAAAACAGAAAAGGAAAGACTCTATGAGACCATCTCTCTGTCCCATAAAGACCCATTACAGTCTCTTAAAACAGATGTTGACAGGAGAATCATATATTTTTTAAAGTATAACCTCATTAAATGTAATTCATGATGGAGAACTGTTAGAAAAAACAAAACCTGCATTGCTCTTAAGCAGAAAGCTTTTCAAACGATCACGTCTTTTTAACTGCAGAACAGCAGAGTGAGAGAGTCTGGTGGCACTCCTAGCAACACTGTGACCTACAAGCCAAGCAGTAAGTGCTTCGTATGATACTCCAGTGGAAGCCAGGCTGTCTTTTCATCAAAACAAGAGGACCACTGTTTGGTGTTTTAACACTTCACTTTGTTGAGTGCTTTTCCGTGGGAGTTAGTCCATTAACACTAGAGGTTAACACCATGGTTTTTTTTAATGCCAGCAAATAGTTACAGGTCAAAGCTCACATGCATTACAACCCACCCAGGCATATTCTGAAACACTGCCTGACTCTTCTTTCCCCAACACGAGGTCACACAGCTACAGAGAATGGGAGGAATAAGCAAGAGTTTAACATTCGTGAGTGCATACATCAAGAATGCATTCTACCAGATTTCTTTCTATTGCAAATAAAACTGGAATTCCTTTGCTAACAACAGGGCTACTTAAGGAAGACACATTTCAATTTATGCTCTGTTTTAGCTCTTATGAAATAGATTTTCCTAACCAGTATTTAAAAGCATATTCTGGATCTGGGAAAAACTATCAGCTGCTTTGAGCCAATGCATCTTCACTCTGCCTTGCAAAACATCTCATGCTGAGAATCTTGAGGTGACCTAAGACAGGCTGACAATGAAGTTAAATTGAGAGACAATCTCTCTGTGTGTTCAAACATTTGCAAAGTGAGTCAAGCTCAGTTATTTGCTGACTACTCATCTTTGAATTGTAGCCTCTCAGTTCACTGTGGATTCTTTCAGCATTACAATGTCCTCAGTGCCACATAACCCAAAGAACAATCTATGTAAAAAAGTACACATCTTTATTTGCTATCAATTAGTGAAGTTAAAGAGAAACTTTCACACGGGCTAACCTCAGAAAATACCAACTGAAATAACTCTGTACTTTGACTCCAGCTCCCTTTATTGTCTCTTCTGCTATTACACTACATTTGAATTACAGCTCTCTCCTTCCTCTCTCAGCTTCTCCTTTAGCAGGCCTCCACCATGACACCACTCCTCTGACATGCAAGTTTTACAGAAGGGCTGGATACAAATACAATATCCTGGCTTTACTGCAAAATCAGGAGCAAAGTGCAAGGTGTGATAAATATGTGCAAGTCTTCTCTGAGTATTAGGCAAGGAATCCCCCTAAAAAGGCATGAAAGGGGGGAAAAAAAAAAAAAAAAAAAAAAGGACCAGAAAGAATTTGGGACATCTGGGAATATTTTACGACATCTCCAAAACAAGGCTTTTCCCAAGAAACCTTCCAACTTTAGGTACTTTAGAGACGATGGCAACAGGAGGGTGGCAGAGGGGGTAGACATTTCAAAATTGAATGATGGCCACCCGTGCTCATTCATTATTTTGCTTTCAGAGTAGAGGTGTAAATCTGTAGCATTACAAGCTCCATTGTAAAGATCAGTGATGACCAGAAGGTATTCAGCTCCTAATGCTGACCACCGTAACGATGAAGTCATTGGTCTTGTGGTACCTCACCACGAGCTGACTGCGGTACCCTTCCTTCCACAGGATAATGCTGCTTTCCATAACTCACGAGGCTGTTTATTCAAAGTTGGCCTCCATTTCACCTCACTGCCAAACTTCATCCTCTTTTAGCACCAGCAGTTCCCTGATGGTTAATGCTTTCGGCTATGTATTACTTTTTGCACTCTCAGCTCTGGTTATTTATGGAGTTACCCAAAGGCAAACAAGTAAGTATCTTCATATGCTTCCAACCATCATCTTTCATAAGAACACTCCTTAGTAATGCTCTACTGCTTCACAGTCTTACTGTGCAAGTGTAAAGTACCTACACAGAGCTAAGACCTCAGTGAGTCAGCCAAGAAAACACTTCCACTTTGCAGAGAAAGTCACAGCAAAGTCTTGTGGTCAGATGATGAGGAGAAGGATCTAGTACACTCTGCATCTTTCTGCACTGACAGAAGATGGGTGAAGGTGTAGCAAAAGATTCCTCTGGGATCACAGCTCGTGTTTTATCATGAGATGAGTGGCCTGCCTCTCATGTTTTAGAGACAAACTAAGGCAAAGCTGGTTCCAGTTACTCATGGCCTCAGTGCAAGAAGACCTGGGTTGCCAGGCAGCATTACAGCCTGGCCTGTTGTACATTCCTGAGCATGACACCTCTACTGGCCTTGAGTGGTTTACAGCAGAGCCATACAAAAGCTTCAAGGGATGAGCTAAAGGCTAAGGGTTCCGTGACCCTTTGCTAAGGGCGCTTTCCAGAGAAGGAAAGGGGATAAAACCCACAGGTATTCTATCCCCATTTCTGTATTCACAGCAGAGAGCTCGCTCGACTTCTCACAAACACTGCTTTTGAGAACAAGAAGGTTTTTTTGCTTCCTTTCCCCATTTATACTACTTGCCATAAGGTTTTCTGTCATGCCACTGATAAACAAAACATGCAGTTTTAGTCGTGTTCAGGAAAAATATGCAAGCACCCTTCACTTTCATTGACTGCCAATGAAACTAGTGCAACAGCATTGGTCAACATCAGTCTTGAAGTCTGAAATAACTTCTCATCTGACTTCAGCTTGCTTCACTTACACTCCTACAGTCCTTAGTGGTTTGGGGTAGAGAGACTGGGAAAGTATTTTTTAAATTTACTATGGAGTTGTTTCAGAAACATTAATTCATCGATCTGTCATTTTAGCAAGCAAACATAGGCAAATTTTCACCCAGGAATCTGAAATACTGCTGTGTAACCAAGGAATAGAGATGGAAAATTCTTTCTTGCCTAGACTTAGAGTTGCAATTAATTATTAATTTACATGCTAACCACTATTACTGAAAAAAACATCTACTGCTTTGCATGAGAATACAACTGTGGCTTGAATATCTAGTGACAAGCCCTGAGCCTTCAGATGAAGCCCAGTGGCCAAGAGTTACAGATAGCGTGTCTTTAGGTGTCAGTAAACACTGTTCAAACACCCTAGATCTCAGCTGCTCCCTCCTCACCTCCCGTATGACTTGCTGCAGCTCCTCCTGCTCCACAGTTTTGTGGATTTCATCAACCGAAGGCACGAGAGGGACTTTTTCAAGTTTTTGCTCCACCACTGGCTTGGAGCCTGCAGGCTCCTCAGAGCTTTCCACCTGCTGTCCAGCGCCTGCTCTCACTGGGGGAGTTGGTGTTAAGGCAACGGAAGCTCGGTATAACTTCTTGCTTTGACTCTTAGACTTTCCTGTAAATTCAGAGGATCCAGCACCAGCTTTTCTACCTGTGTGACCGGAGCACACTGAAGAGGAATCAGAGTTTCCATGGGAGAATACAGACTCTGTACCCTCTGCTGGGAGAGTTTCCAGTCCAAGATCTCCCAGTCCTAAACCCAGTTCAGACTTCAGAAATGACTGCTCTCTAATAAGTTCGGAGACCTAAGGGTTCAGAAAAGAAAAGGTCCAGAATAAGCATATAAAAAAGTCACATACAGACACAACTATACTTTCCTGTTATTTATTCAATCACTTACTCATTCCCTCCATGCAACAAATGCAGCTATAAAATAAATGTATGCTTTGCCTTTATGACTGCAACAAAGGGGATCATAAAAAGGAATGGGCTTTTTTATAAGCCAACATAAATACAAATTGTGGCAGTTCCCCAAGTCACTGACTTTTGCAATATGGATGCATTCTGCCAGAGCCATTGACAGAGACACACGTAAAGGCTTGGTTTTGTTTTTCTTTGCACAAACAATTCAAGTTTGTTCTTTCCTTTCCGCAATCTTTGAACCACTTCTTTTTCAGTAGCATAAAATGCATAGCAAAAATAAGAAATAATTTTCCCTAGAAAACTCACCATGTAGTTATTATATCAACTAAATGCAAACATCATCTTACTTTTACATTTTCCTCTTAAAAACAAGTAAGATTTCACAGCTACTTACACCTATGGTTAAATTTTCTTAAGGGAAAATGCAGCTGTTCTCAACAGAACAACTCAAGTGTGTAAAGTATTTCCAAGATTATGTGTCAAATGAATCTCCTGGCACCTTTTTTCAGAACTCCATTACTGGTTCTTTTTCTTAGTAAAATACACAGCATACAACAATTACTTACTGGTTCAATGACATTCAATGGAGAAGGGCATGATAGATTTTCAGCGCTTCTGCTTCCATACATACCCTGAAAAATTAAGGCAAGTTAATACACTGAAGATTTTTTTAGAGCTGTCAGAAGCTAATATAAACATGCCATGTCTAAGACTACTTTCTGTAAAAGTAGAAACTTGGAAACAGGAAGCAAAGCTGGTTGGAGAAAGTTTATTTCAGTCATTTTTAAAGCTGGCCCTTTTCTATAAAAGGATTTACAAATAAAAAGATATTTATATGGTTCAAAGAATGCAAGTTTGGCTTGGGTTCACAGTAGAATCACATTTTCCTGTTCTTGGGTTTCAATTTTTTTCCCATGACAAAACACTGAAGAGGAAGACATTGCCTGTGCTGCTTCTACAGAAGAGAATTGGCCAAGAAAGAGGAATTAAACCCAGGAAGAACACATGGTACTTTTCGCCTGTGCTTCTTTTGTTTGGCTAATGATAGAATCACAGCAGAAAAAGAGGAACAGTCTTCCACTGAGTGAAAAAGAAGAGAAAGTGTATCAACATGCCACCAATAAGCATCTGCAAGTGTCTCTCTTATCCCCCTTCTTGTGCTTCTGGGGAGCGTTTTTGGGAGCAAAGCTTCTCTAACTGTTTGGGGGGGAGTCACATGTTCATCTGAAGAAGCTACAAAAGGCAATGGAAGGAAAAAAAAATAAAAATAAAAAAAGATGGCAACTGGATTTTCCCAGTTTTTGTTCCATGGACTGGCAGAGCTAGAGGGGAAGCACACCTCACTCTGGAGAGAAACGCTGTGCATTTCTCATCTCTCTGCCCTCATTGCACAAGTAAGAAAATCAGTGTAGGAAAACTCCAAGAAAGACCATCACCATCCCCTAAGGATTTTAGACATGACAGCTACCTACCAAAACTGTGAGAATTCAGGATCATGACAAGGCAAAAGAAGAAAGCACTGATAGAAGAGGTCTGAAATCTCAGACCTAAAACCCCAGAAGATACGCATGTTCCTCTATTCACGCACTTCTTCCCCAAGACAAAACACTGACTGAAAATAAAAAACATATATCCCCTGATAACACACGTCATCAACAGATTCTCCAGATACCATCCCACTGTAAGAGTTTTAACAGTTATGAGTTATTAACATTACACTGAGAAAATATATAATGTTGTTGCGTAAGTAATACTTACTACGTGTGTCTGAGATCTGTAAGGTGAAGACATGTGCAGACTTCTCAGCTGGTCTTCCAAAGCAAGCAGGCGTTCTTCTAACTGCATCTCTAACTCCTGTAGCTCCATGCGGACAGACTTTCTCAAGCTCTGTAGCTGATCAGCTTCATATCTATACCAAGCCCATCACAGAAAGAACAAGGGCATTCACTGAACTCAGCTGCACACCACAAAAGGAGAACTGAGCAGGACAATCCCATCAGTAAGACTTCATACTAGGGAATTCAAAATGGAACACAGAAAATTCCTCTTTCTTGGAAAAATAATGCTTAAATGGAGCAAAAGTCTTTCTCCATTTATAGAAAATATATGTCACTTCATGGAGACAACAACATAATGTAACTGAATATTCTCCAAAAATCTTATCTTTAAATACTTAAATATATGCAAGCAGATGAAATTGGAATTTACAGAGGTATCTAATCAATTCCAATTTAAAACCAGTAACAACAACAATCACAGAGCAATGCAGTAACTGCGTATTACTTCTCCTTTGTGGTTCTAGATTCCCATGCAGTCAGAGCTACATTTTGGCCAGGATACCATTGTCTAAGAAGGCTAACTGATTTCTAGCATGTTTACTTTTAAAGTGATTGGTCAAAAGATGATTCAACTTAAGTAAATTTATAAGCAGTTTTGAAAACTGTTCCAGATCAGCTGCTGCTGTGACTTACGGTGATTCCAAACACAAAGACCCAGAATATGAATGCCATCTGTAGTGGACACTCTAAGCAGTGTCCAGCGGAAAAGCATCTGAATGCTACAATGTTCATTCTTTATTTATATCTACAAAGATGGAAGGGGTGGGATGCAAGCTGAAAAGCTTTAAGGCTTTTTCCCCTGCCAATATCCTATGTTCACGTATCCTATGATAAAAGTCTTTAAAATCTGTATCTTTAAAAACACTTTGGAGAAAGGATGAAGGAAAAAAAAAAAATCAATTAATGAGAAATGGGGATTAGGAGAAACATAGAAGAAAAAACTCCAGAATTAGGTAACATAAAGAAGAGAGTAAGTTTTTGGCAAAAACTCAGCTCCAACCCTGTTCAATTTGAAACTAATAGAATATTTGCTCTGATTTCAGGGACAATGACACACTACCCAAAGAATATTTTCCCTTTTTAAGCCCATTTTACCTTTCTTCTTCTGTCATGTGCTGATAAACTGTTGTCTGTTGACGTAACATAGTCAATTCCAGATCCATCATTTGTGTTCTGAATAAGTTTAGATTTCGCCTGACCACTTGTAGCTCCTGGAAAGTATTCTGAGGGTAAAAAAAGGCATTTAGTGACAATTGTGGGGATGTGCCCTGTCAGTCAAGCAGAACCTCAGCAACTTCAGTATACTACAGAGGCTGCATGTTGTGAACTGACAGTAATTCAAGAAAACATTTTCAAATGTATCATAGCAGCAAACACGTGAAAGGATTTCCACGCATTTAAAACAATTCCTTTTTAAATGTTATTTGCAGGATACAGTCTTCTGTTGTCTCTTGAAAGCAAAGACAGGGAACTGCCCAAAGTTACCACAATATGTGGCATATTTAGAATGTTTCTTTGTATTATATTTTGACTAAGTACCATTATGTGAACAGGGTCACTTACTTCATAGAGAGGTAGAATGGATGATCTCTGAGTAGTGTAACCAGTGGCAGCAGAAAGGTCCTGACCCCTCATCACCGGGTACTAGGGAACAAACAAATTATTTGAAATTGGAAAGACAGCAATCTCCTTTATGAACTCATCTGCCCAAACGTGCAGATACTCCAAAAGCAGCCACTAAAACACAGCCTTTCTGGTATCGCAATTTCTGCTATCTATGTAAATATTGTGTTGGGAAAAGGAAACCTTACAGAATGGCAGCACCAGCTCTTGAATCATGTGTGCCAAAGCTATGTAATGCAAACGTGCTGCAGGTGAAAAACCAAATTAATCCTGACACATTAATTAGGAATAAAAGCTAACTTTTTCCAGTACCAGGCATTTTATGGCTGAAAACTCAGTAGTCTCAATTGTCTTAGCTAATGATAAAAAGAACAACTCCAAAACCAGAACTGAGTCCCATTTTCAAATCATGAACATAGTCACATCTGTTGTGGGGTTTTGTTCAGCTCTTACTTTGGTTTTTGGGGTTTTTTTTTGTTGTTGGTTTTGGTTTTTAATCTCACTATATTGCCTACATCCAAAAACCCCTGTATGCTAAAGACCTCTCATGAAAACAAGATTGTTGAAGAATTTCTATTTGCATGTTGCATCAACATGTACAGTAACCAGATAAAATTATGGGGCTGTTACCTGTAGTGACATGGCACAACAAAGAACAGTGGAAACAGCAAAAACATGTACCTCTTCAAACGTGAAAAAGACAGCTTGTCCAATTTAATTCTGAAATAATTCAAATGACTATTGACATGCGATGGAAAATTTGATCTGTGCGCATTCATCCAGAGGAGTTTTGTTCAAACATGATCACATCAAGGGGATGTTTTGTTTTTCCTCTCCCAGTTTTCTCTGTTCCCTGTTCTATCAGGAATTAATCTGCCCCTCTTTATTCCTTCCTAAAATCAGAATCATATATTTGAAATATCTCAATATTTTCTTTAGCTGCTGAGTATGCTATATACCAAACTCAATGCTGAGTATGCTGTAGGAGAAAACCAGCATCTCTGCAATGAGAAGGACCAAACCACCAAAATGGAACAAAACAAAATATGCTGGAAGCAGAATAAGTGGGCTAGGAGATGTTATTACCCCCTCCTATATTATTTTTTTTTTTAAATTGAATCAGCTTGAGTATGAGTTCAGGATGCAATACAGAGTTTTCTTCTTCAGCAGGTTCAGTTAGCATGGTATATGCAGTACAAGTACTGTAGCACACTAACCTTACACAAATCAAGGCCACGACTGGTCCACATGAGGGAATTTTACAAAGAAGGTTAAATTCTGCAAACACACTCAGGCACCATCTACCTTGAGCCACAGCTGACATAAACCATAGCTGATTGCAGCTTTCCACTGCTGTGCTGGTCACAGTACCAAAGTTTGGTCTGAGAAGCAGGGCCATCTGATATAACCAAAGTCAGGCTGGACTAGCCTCTAACTTTTGACAAGTGACAAAATAAACAAAGTAACAGGGGTCTAAAATGCCCACTACAGCCTACAGCCTGCAATAGGGTGCAGGCAGGCCCATGCTTGTTCTTGGGTAAAACCCACAGAAATGTCAAAGCTTCACAACTGAACAGTCTTCATGTGTTCATATATAAACAAGCAGAGTCTGCAACTGCCCTGCCCATGTAGCCTCCTGCAGCAGCTTGTAGGCTCCCAAGCTGGATCATCACCTAAGAGAACAGAAGTTCAGAGATGGCAGAGGAAAGAGAGCTGGCAATTAGGAGGGAAACAGCAGAAGGTGTGGCAGAAACCAGCAGGGGGAAAAAAACCAGTGTGCTTGCATTTTAAAACATTTCTTCTCTGAGTGATGAGACAGACAAAATTTCACATGCTCTGACAAAACCAATTCTTAATAAACGACTGATGACATCAGGAACATTTTGACTAGTGCCAGAGCTGAAAGTGCAGAAGATTGGCATGAAACAGCACAGAAACATGCAGGGATCAAACAACATTGATACCATTATGATAAATTTTTTTTTTTATATCATTATTGATATCAATGAAGCCATGCGACTGGCAATCAAAAAACCCACATTTTTATCAGTTGGATGGAAAGTATGTCAAAAAGAAGAGAGGTCAAAGGACTGTTACTACATATTTTCAGATCTAAAGCTAATGACTCTCACCTTAAAATAGTAGCTTACAGAGTACAGTGTTCCTCCCTCCTGCCTAAGAATATCCACAGAAGTTTAAAAAAAAACAAAAAAAACACCAAATGGACCAAACAAAAAAACCCCCAACAAAACAAACAACAACAAAAAAACCAACCCCAAACCCCCTCAAAAACCCAAACAATCTGGGTCAAATGCAACAAGACAGAATTAAATGCAAAAACAGCAGAGCACTGGAGAGATGATAACTTGCCATTTTTAACAGAAGCTCCTAAAACAGAAGCAAATCAAACGTGCACAAAATGTCATTTTTTCCTGATCCGTTACACTACACAAAGGAATATTCAGGTTGACATTTTGGTTCTGTAAGGGTAAAATAAGAATGCCCTTTGGCCAGGGGCAAAATTTGGCTTCCTCATACCTGTGAGAGGTTCTGCAGAGAGTTTCTGATGTCATGTAGGACCCTGCGCAGCTGCATCTCCACGGTGGAGGGTGGGTTGATGGCATGAGGTCGATGAGGAAATCCAGCATGCCTTGGAGAGAAAGGACAGCTGAAGGGAGAAAAGAAGGTGCTGCAGGAAGAGCCGGAGATGCTTGGGATGCTGTGGGTGCTCAGTGTCCTCACGTGCTCGCAGAGCGGTCTGTCCTGCCATTCGGCAGGGAGGGAGTGAAGGGAACATGTCGACTGGGACATGTGTGCCGGTGTGTGCAGTGGGCAGCTCTGCACCCTGGTGGGACTGGGCTCCTCAGATGGCTCAGTCTGAGGCATTTCTTTTTTGGAGGACGAAGGCGCAATAAACAGTGTGGATTTGCACACCGGCTGGCTGGAGGCTGCCTCACCCTCACTTTTGTCATTCTCAGACATCGCTTTCTCATCTTCCTCCACACGTGTGTACTTGTAGGTAAAGGAAGGAGGACTGCACAAAGTCTCTTTTCCTGGAGTTAACTGTACATTCACAGAGGACACTACTTTTACTGGATTCAGCAATGCAGTTGGGAGAGACTGAGACCGCCTTAGAGGATAGCCCGATTCAGCAAACCAGAGTCTCTGCTTTCTCAGGAGATCTTTTGACTTAGGCAGAGCACACCCAGCCCTGGAATCAGATGTACTGACAATCCTCATCTCAGCTCTTTGCAAGGCAACATGAACCTTGTCCACAGATGACGCGGAGGAGCCACCACCTTCAAGAGACCCTATCGACTTGAGGATATGGTGCGTGTGGTACTGAGGAAACTCAGACACACTGCCTTCCTCCAGCAGGTCCGATTGGTTTTGCTCATTGGAAATGTCTTCCTCTTTAGAGCTGACCTCTCCTTGGACTGTCTCCGATATATGAGATGACTTGCTTTCTCGCTCTTGATTTTGCTCAGTTTCATAGCCAACAATTTTTCTGCCTTCTCTCCTTCTGTTTTCAGAAGGTGACCCTACCTTTTGTCCCTCTACTTGAGAGATAATATCCTCTCCATCATCATCATCATCCTCCTCATCCTCATCATCTTCTTCCTCCTCAAACCTATTGAAACAGGGCAGTTCCTTGGCTATTGGTGTCTTCTGTTCCTCACTATGCGAGGTCAGGGTTGTCTCACTATCACAGCTGTCAGCGCTGCTTCCCATGCCCTGCAAAGACTCCTGAACCTAGGAAAGATACAAGCCAGCAAAGGGGTGAACATACCAGAGACTCAACTACTGCCTTCTGAGGAGTCAGGCTAAGAGTCCAAGTCCACATTCATTGGGCATTGTGGTGCGGAGAAGAAATAACAATGCAGCTAGTATGCAAGAAAAACAGTGATGGAGAACAAAGAAACCATGAACCATGCTATCAGGTAAGTTAGTAGCATATTGAAATATGGCACCAAAAGGAGATGTGGGGGTTTTTAATTAAAAGGGGGGGGGGGGGGTGGGGGGCGATAGTGTGTGGAGAGCAAACTATTCATACATCTCTTCAATTTGACAAGAAATTCTTTACTGTCAGAACAACAGAAATAGCAGCAGAGTAAAAGAGTAAAAACAGTAAAATGCTAGTATTTTAGGTAGTGATGAGAAAAGGGTAGCAGGGTGGCAGTACATGACAACTACAATACATAAAGGTTCAGCCAGTGCTGAAACAAAGGGTGGTATTAGGGAATGCATACAGAGAAGCGAGGAGAACTGTAGACTGTAGTGAAACTAGTATTACAAGACAACACCAAGAAAAGGAAAACCAGTCTGTCCACATACTTGTCCCATTTTAAGTCACCAAATTGTTTGAGACACTGAATCTCACATTAGGCTGCTAATCTCTATTGAAGACTGCATCCAGCACTATTATGCCCATCCTTCCTTTCTCCTACTACTTCTTCCCCTTTATATTCTAAATCACAGTTTAAACAGAGCACATGTATGAAGAAGCTGCTAATTCAATAGGTAACAAATGGCAGGAAAAGTATCTATGAGAAAAGGAAAAAATCCATCTACTAATTGCACAGCATATTCATTAGGCTGGCCTGATTGACTGGTATGTTTACAAAAGGACATGTTTTCATAAGAATTTGTGGTATAAAGTACGTTCTTGGAAGTCTACCATAGCTGACACACGAAGTGCAAATTTAGAGAAGCTTTCCCACCTCTAATTTCTGCAGCTCTCACTGTCATTAGAACACCAACTTTTAGTTCCTTCTAGAGAGATTACTTATGGCGTATGACAGGCAATAGTCTTTTCCAGCCATCTAGTAGATTTCAGTCATGAAGGTCATCTTCTTAAGTTCATACTTAACATTGCACTAACTGGCACAGCCACAGATTAGTATGAAAGACTGTGCAGGGTCAGATACTGTTCAAGTAAAAGGTATTAAAAGAACAAAATATTGTAATGTCTAGGTGAAATTATACGTGCTACATGTGTGCATATCTGCATCTCTAACCCTCATCACCTTGTTCACCTACAAGTCAGGCAAACAAAACTTGGATGGAGAATTTTTCTAGCTTCTTTGGTAACATACAAGTCCCCTGCAGAATACCCCACCTCAATGCCAACATCTCCCTTAGAAATCTTTATTATGAGTGTCGGAAGTGAAAGGCAATATAATTCCAATTTTTGAGGTTTCTCCCGAGTTTCAGAGGAATCCTATAGCTGCTAGAGTCAACTATTTAACAGTAGATGGCACTAACTTACCATACTTTAAAGAACCGATATATACCCCTCTGTATCCCCTTCATCTTTTCACAGGTTTTCTTCATGAGCTGCCAACTTCCCATTTCCTCCTATCTCATGATTCACCCCATATATTTTTTTAATTCAGCTCAACACTTGGTCCGAACAAAGCAGTGAAGAGAGCCTAGCAAGTCTGTGGCACAAACCTCGTGCAGTATCAATGCATCTTTTCAAAACACCGTAACAGAAAACAGAAAAATCTCATCCCTTTACAGCCAACACAAATAAACTCCACTAGTCTCCAGTGAAGGAGCACTTACTTGCAACATGCTTTTAATGGACTCTTAGTCAGGCTGCAAGCAATATAAAGGTTGGAAGTGAGCAGCTCTAATCTGAGCCACCTTCTAACATGCCTGTCAATTTCAGCGCAGTCCCAGTTTAGTAGAGAGCAGAAACAGTATCTCAGACTATTATGCTCATTATAGAGACTCAGGTTCATGATTTCCTTTATTCACTCTCTTGCTCTTGGAAAGAATAAGCTGATGGTTAAGGAAGACACAAAGGCTAGCACCGTGTTGGCTTTCACTTTGGTGCTCAGTTGAAAATCTACTAAACTGGAACGCATAGAATACCAGCGCCAAAACGGAAAAGCAATGTTGATGGATGGGTAAGGTAGGAATCTCTTCCTGTTAAGTGCCACACATTTTAAAGCATTTGGTGTGTCACAACAAAAAACAAACAAACAAATAAAAAGTAAATACAGTAGCATTAAAAAAGTTCAACAGCTGCAAAACATAGAAATGAAATTACTGGTGAGAGGTGATATCCAGAATCCCATCTCTGTATTCCTCTGGATGCGGTTTAGGTCACGGACAGCTAACTGACGACCTTGAGGCCAGGATCCAACTCAAGACTTTTCTCTGGCTGATTGACCAAATCATGGCTATTAGTATGTGAATGTTTTAGGAGAGGCAAGAAAACACCTCCCCTAAATACAAGGTGTAACGCTGCGCAGACACGTGCACTGGGCAGACACCTGAACACCATGCTGGAACAAAAGCCTCCCTTTAGACATGCTGTCTCTGGTCAGTATCACAAAAAGTTCTGGGACCGAGACCAAAGAAACTGGAACAAGAAGGAGTGTGGGAGCTCAGGATCGACTAAACATTAGTACACCTTCACAGTAAAGTTAGAATGTAATTATTTTCACTTTCTGTCAGCTGCTAACTAAGAAAAAAAAAATTATAAAAAAAATAGAAAAACATGCAAAAAAAGTGGGAAAGCAAAAATTATTCAAGAAATTAAATGATCAGCAGAAAAGCTATAGTCTTTTATAACCTTAAACTCCACTCACTACAGTCATGAGAGGAATAGACTATGATTCTGGAGCCTTAGCCAGTGAGAAATGATACACTAGAAGCAGCAAACAAGACATACTGAACTTAAAGCTTATTCCAAGCCCAAGTATACCCAGATTATCCTACCAGAAAGGCTTTCAAATTTTAACACAGTTATGTAAGTGACTCAGCAGGTCCAGCTCTGAAAATTAGAAGTTTTATAGGATCTAGACTGACAGTCACAATCGCAGTCAAACATCAACATCCCTCCTGCCTTCCTCAGGTCCCTCCTGTCCTGCAATAACCAGTAACATATCAAACACAGTTTAAGAGCCTTACCTGAAGCTGATTAAATGGAGAACAATCTGTGGAGGAGTCCTCAGCGAAGCCACTGCTGTCAGAGTGCTGACTGGCAGTCCGTAATAGCTGATCTGTTTAAAACAAGCAAAACCCAACTGCAATTACTTTTCAAATCACAACCTTCCAAGCGCGGTCACATTCAATACATGCTTTCCTTTTACATCAAAGTAACATTAAGTGGACAACACAATTCCTTTTCAAGTTCCACTTTGAACAATACAGAGAAACAACTTGTTTGTTTCAAGCAAAACCTCTTCTCATGCAAAGCCCTACTTGTGAAACTTCAAGCAGCAGTGGAAGAGGAACCATCTTTTACATTTTTCTTTCCTGTGCTGTGGGAAAAAACCCCACTCTGCAGACGTTACCACCGCTGGAGTTCTCCCTTCGCAAAACCAAATCACTGGTTAATTCACATGCAGGCAGCGGAAGAGGTGCTTTTGTATTGAAATGTACAGATTCACCACCCCTCCTGATCATGGTGATAAAGATCACTCGCCTCCTGCCAGCCTACACCACCCCATACGCCCAGAGGAACAGCATCACATGAGCAAAGAAGGCGATGTGCAGAACTCTGCAGACTGCTAGAGATGGTCCTCTGATGGTTTAGGAGACAAATACAAAACATTCTAACACATCAGCGGACAATCTGCCAAAGCACATTCCCAGCACTCATTTTACATACTCAAGATCCTCCCGCTTGTTCTTTTCTACTTACATTGGGTAAGTGCTAAAATAGCCTAAAGAGGCTCTAAAATCCTCAGTGCTACCCAGGAGTGGTTTCCTTTGGTGCAAGCACTATAGCCACAAATCTGTTTTTCAAGGAGATCTCAGTAAGCTCTGCAGTACAGTATTGCATTATGTTGCTCTCAACTAGACATAGGAGGCACCCATCAAGTGTGAGGTTTACGTTACACCACCATAAACGTCTTGCTTAGCCACATGGCAGCATGGGCAACAACCATATCTCACCTCTAGTTCTGAGCAGAAGTGTAAAAGCCTGGAGACGAGATGAGATCACAGCGGCCTGTAGTCCTCAGACCTCTGCCTCCTCCTCCTCATCACCCTGGGGCAAGTGCTCACTGCTGTCTTCTCAGAGGCTCAGTGCAGAATTTTGCCCCACATTCCTTCAACCACTTAACTGTCATCACATAATTAATCCCAGTTCACAGCTCAGTGCTTTGGAATGCATTATGAAAACTGTTTTGAAACTTGGATATTTAGAACTAATTTTTTTTTAGTATTCCTTTTGATGAACATTTCACTAACACAGAAATAAAAGCCTGCACAGGCTCAGAAGTTTGTGAACACCAGGAGAGGCAAACTGCCTCCGTATCAGCAGTTTCACACAGCTTTGAGGGAGTGCCTTTCAAATTGTGCTGCTGTTCTGTTATCATGGTAGCCACAATATCCTGCGATGATAAAACAACTTTTCTACCTCAAGACAGACATCCCCACCCTGATCCCAGTGCAGACAATGGGAATTACTTTCCTGAGAACTGGACTAGCTCTTAATAACTGCCCAATATAATTAATATGGCTGAAAGAGCATGCCGTGAACAGGTTGCCACTACAGCTGAGGCTAGTGGGAAGCTGCCACCTTCTCCAATGTGAATAGTCTTGTACTCTGGTCTCCTCTCTCTCTTTTCCTACTTGGTGAATTTTAATTTAAAAGAAAAAAGCCTTAGCCACAGGGGAGATTCCAACTAGTCCAGATAAAGCAATTCACCAGTGTGCATGCTGGCATCTGGTTTCATGTGCATGAAGTTTATTACTGCTCAAGAAAAATATTGACCTGCCCTTCTATTTCCTTCTCCGTCAATATTTCCTTTACAGCCATAAAAAATACATATATGCATATACATCTCAAATCAATTATTGGTTTCCTTGGAGACACAGTACAAAAGTAAAAATCATTGGTTTAGACCATCTTCTATAGCATTTGTTACTTATGCACATGCTTTGAAAGCCTTATATGACAGATACTGCCAGTCAAGTGGTCAGTCTAGAGCAGAGGCACTCATACCTGCCTCATCATCTTTATCTGTGGCAAGGGACTAGCACAGTATTAACAGATTCAAACTGCTTTGGTTACACCCAAGGAGACATCCCCTTTAATACAGTCATCTCTTGCTTTCTGTGTTGCAGAGCTACTAGGATTTTTTTTTTTTTTTAATGTTGTAAAGCAAAGTAGAGAAGACATTTTTTGCAAGTGTGAGTAATCTTGTACCACACCTTACCTTTGACTCTTGCAAGTTCTCAGACGTCTCCACCATACCACTATCATGTTAATGCAATAACAACTTTTAAAGAACAGGAATCTCTACTACTTCAGTAGTGAAATCACAAAGTTTGCCTCTGTAAAGATGAAATACCATCTAGTACATTGGGATATACTGATACATAATGGTATGTACCCTCCTTGTCAACTACTGATCCAGGTGTAAAACCTGCTCTATGGCACTAGGATGTCCTCAAATTCAAGCAGATACGGGGAAACTACATTCTGTAAAAGGTCATTGCACGATGCCAACCCTGCAGCCCAAAGCTATTATCCACACTATGCAGGGGAAATCTTCTGAACTAGGGAGAGGTCAGAAACAGCATAATAAGGAAAGCGTAGGAGAAGGAACCAGCCAAGATGCACAAAATCAGAAGGAACAAACTCACATCTCACTTAAACACAGCACAAATAAAAATGCCCCTTGGATTATTGTTTTAAACTGCATAAAACCCCCAAAAAACAAAAAAAACCCAAAAATATATTTAGGCACTGAATACATACCAGAGAAATGTGGGTATTCAGAAATGTATCAAATAAGATGACAAAGTTCTAAACAAGAACAGATGAAGAAGAAGCAAGTCTATGGTTTACAAAACATGAGAGCACAGATTTATCAGAGAACCATTATCTAATAATGGAATAACTAATCTATTGTAAAATAATATTCAGCTACCAATGGACTGTTAGTCTCACCAATCCAAATAACAGTCCCATCAGGTGCTTGTCTTTCACTTTCTGCATCACTTGACTGCTCACACAGAAGAGGAGAAGAAATACGTGGAAACTGCCCCTGAAGTAACATCTATGATTTTTATACCTGCAGTATTGGCAAAGCTCTATTGCACTTTGTATTTCACAAGATTATTAATAAATCGACATTCCCAATTTACATAAAGTATTCCATTACAGGATTAAGTATCTGCTGCTTATTTCTCACATACAGATCATACCCTGCACCTCAGCACTGCCAAAAATAGCCTAGTAGGGAGCCCTGCTGCAGAAACTCTGAAGAGTTCCTTGGGATTTCCTAGCTCCTGGAAAGATAAGCACAGACTCCCACAAATACTAAATCTTCCAAATGTCTTCTTCTCACTCCCCCATCTCCAATCTCCTGTGGAGCTGCACCCACAGAGAGCTATAAATACAATAATATATTAAGGACAGGAAGTGCTGATGATGTGCTTTCTTCACTTTCAAGGACTAAATTTTCAAAATTAATCACTGCTTTTGACTACTGATGTCAGATGCCTCAAAAGAAACAGATTTGTGGCTATTCAAAATTTCACAGACCCACTGATGTCAGCAACCAGACACAAATTACAATGCCTCAAGAACATTTTCTTCTCTACATTACCTATATTTGTCTTGTTTGTTGTTTGGACAAAATGTTTGGGCATTTTTGGAATGGAAGAATTTATAAATATGTCAGGAAGAATTTTGTTTTCTAACTAACAAACCCTCCTTCTAGATCACTTTGCAATAAGCAACTGAAGCTTTTCATTCTTGTCTACTACATTCTTAAGAAAAACCACATGAACAAAAATTTATCTACATTTGAGGTTTGCAACAACAAAGAACAGGATGCTGCTTTTAGGCATGATGGATAAACCAATTCAGTAACAACTGGAAGACCTAATCTAAAAAGTACATCAAGCTAGTCGATATGATACAAAATTCTTTGTATCCTCTATAAAGTGCTTAAGAAAGTATTACAGCAAAGCACACATTTGCAAGCCACTTTGAAAATTTAATCTTACCACCTATAAACAAAGCTAATCTCAAATGAGAAACATGCTTTAACGGGAAGTCTAAGCAACAGTAGACTGTGTTGTTCAACCATCTCTTAAGTCGCTCCAGAGTTTTCCAGTAGGAAAGAGAATTATTATTTTTTTTATTTAATTCAAATACTTTACATCTAACTATATATCCTCTTAAAATGCCTTACAAACTGTTGTAAGTGTCAGAGAAAACATCCACAGCCCTCTGTGTGGTTGTAAAACGACACTGCAAGGTTTATAACAGTCTGTACTGCACAGCATTAACTCTGCTAATTGACACAGAAGTACCTCTCCATGAAAAAAAAAACCCAACCAAACAAGACAGTACAAATGTATTCCTTCAGGGGAAGTAGTCGTCTGGAACAACTTTTTGTTTATGGGTCCTTATGTATAGTAGGGCCAGCAGCACTGAAAGAGGTGGGTTTGTATGAGGACCATCAACTGAAATCACGCTGCAAGAGAAGACCAGTGCCTGAATTTCATGTGGATACCACCTCAAGAGATTGCGAGCGAGAGTGGCATTTCACATTTAGACACAATGGCTGGCATTTTTAGTGAGACCATTAACTCTGAATGCCTTCAAACTTGGTGAGCACTCACTCTGAGAAAACAGGCTTCTACATTGTCTCAGGTTGGACAACTTGGGGAAAAAAAAAAAAGGGAGAAAAATTGACTACCACTTTTTAACATTTTGGGTAAGTTCCCCACCAAATGCTCTCTCTGGGTTTTTATTGAAACCCATACAGAACAAAGTCCTAAGCTTTCTGCATATTACAGGTGAAATAAAATGCTGGTCTCAGACTTCTAGGAAACATGCAGGCTTAGCGTAAGTATTGGCATTCTTGTTAAGTAAGTTACAGAAAACTCTAAGCAATACGTGCATAGTAATAAAGTGTCATTGCTCACCTTTGCCAAATGTATTCAGAAACGGGTGGGACATACTAGCTAGGAAAAATGAACCAGCATGTCACACTTCTGCCATACTGAGGACCCATTGCTAGGACTGCTGGTACCTTTCAGTGGGTACACACTAGACCACTTGACTGTTTTTTTCCTTGCATGGAGGAAGAGGAGGTAAGATAGCTACTGGGAACAGGAAACAAAGCATTTCAGAAGATGGAAAAATTTATTTTTCTCCTCCTTGACTGCAACTCCTGGATCCTTAAGATGCCTTTTTTAAGAGATTAAAAGCTCTTTCTAAAACTGCTGAGACCAGGCAAACAAGAGAACTGACCTGTAAAGAGTGCATCTCTTCACATGTAATCACATAAAGTGTGTAATCATGAACTTTAAAATACAGCCAAGGGAGAAATGCTGGCAATAGTTAGAGATGGCAGTTTCTGGCAGTCCTTCTTCATGGCCTATGTTTTTTACGGAGGAACACTACCAAATGCAGTGCTCTGTTGTGCAAATCACTGCTGAATTAGTAGCACAAGCTATCCGTAATAACCAGGCATTAATCTTCACTGCTGAGTCCAGAGCATTCTCAACCATGTTAATGCAATTCAGCTGACAGTTCACAAGACTGTCAGTTAATTTGTGAAAAGACAAGATGATCTCTGTTCCTTAAGACAGGTTTTTCTGACTCCCTTTAGTATCTAGAGATGATAGTCATGTTTCACCAAGATACAGCATTGCAAGTAAGCATCTCACAAAATGCAACAAGCTCTGTTCTTTAATTACACGTAACAGCTAGAGAATGGACTTCACTTGCCAATGTTGGGCAAAGTAACAATCACAGAATGAATCAGCTTTGTCCCTCTCCCAAGCCATGAAGTACATAAATAAGAACTTGATATGAAAGCACAAACTAAGTGAGCCACAAGAGCCGGTGCACAGTTTCCCATATGAAAGACTACAGTCTCTATGCGGGTGCAGAGACTTCCGTGCTTGCAGACAGAGCAGTAACGCATAGGAAAAAGCTGGATGTATCATGCAATTTAGGTTTAAAACAATATAATTTTAGTTTAAATGGGTATCTTAAATTACAGGATTTGCCAGGGGAAAAAAAACCCCACACAATCTGAATTAACATTTCAGTCCCTCTGAGCTATCATCAATTGTACAAAAGTGAAAACAGCCAGTGAGGTTATAGGGCTGTTGTCTTGCCTATAATTTGGTTGCCACTTTGCAGTAATGTTCTGTGATTTAGCTGAAAAAGAAACCCAGACCCTTTTTTATTTCTAAAGGGAAGAGAAACTTTAGAAGTTTAAAATATCTGAATCAGCATTTCAGGGAGGGAAGGACACTCAGGAAGTCTACTCACCTTTCCTTGACTTGGCCACTGCCAGCTGGTGAGAAGCTGGAACATGTGGTAGATCCCCCTCCGTACTCTGGATCTAACAGGAAGAGGAGATGAATATTTTGTCAGGCCAACTGGAATACGCTCCAGTAATATGCTTAAGAATACCGAAGCCTCATACACTGCACATGCTGGGGAAGGAGCAGGGTGAGTGCTGTGGGATTTTTCTCTAGTCCAACAGCCAGTAATGATCAAGGAAACAAATCCTGTCACCTTGAACCAATGTATTATTTCACTGGCTACTCAGCAATGCTCCTGTAAAGAGTGATCCTTAGGACAGCACCTCCCACTCACAGCACAGGGCTCCCCTCCGGTTATATTCATCATGCAAAAAGACCTGGAAATCACATCCTGTGACAACACTGACAGTTCTCAGCTCCTCTTTGATGAAAGATTAAAATAACTGTGTGGAAACACCTCTGACCACCTTTGCAGGACTGTCACCTGCTGCCCTACCAACTATTTTTTGCAAGCCATCAATCCTCCATAAGGACGCTGATCCTGCCAGAACCTATTCCAGACTTCACCATGCACTACTCGAGGGAATACTTCTTGTGTCCTCAAGTACAAAACCAAAGAAGATAATGTATTTAGAGCCACGCAGATTTCAACTGGGAAGCTTAAAAATACTTAATCGCTTTGTGAAGCACAGCCTTACTAAGACAGCAGTTCTCAGACAACTGTTCAAACAATGAAAAGAATATGCTTAAAATCTCAACAGGGAGGCCTGTGCCTCGTTCAAAACTTAGAATATGTTTTCTCATTTGTGTGCTCCAGAAAAAATCCTAATGGTTCACATGCATTGTCTACATGAACAAAACCCCCAATCCAACTACCCCAAACCCTGCCCTCTAACGGGCTGCCTGCCTAATTTCAAAATTACCAAACAATGAAGTTTTCATTTTCATTTTTTATGAACTTAAAAATGTTGACTCATAATTGTCCCAATGGGATTTTAATTCAGGATACTGATGGTTTTAAGTCCCAATTTGTATTTGGCTAAAGAAGTAGCTATATTTGCATTGATACCATGTATATAGAAGCCACAAGGGTGGCATATTCTCATTTACAAGGGTTTTGAGAAGTACTTGTCGTTAACTTTTCAGCATTAGTAAGTGAACAGCATTACTTTTGCACAATAAATCACAAGGCTTCTGTTCCTTTAGGAGATGAAAGCTGTACCGAAGTGGTAAGAAAAAAAAGGAACATCAAGTAATCTTACAAGCCCCTTGATCAGATTGCCCTTGCAGGAAAGGTATTTTGATTCTCTCAAACCTCTCAGTTTCCAACAGGTACATTTGCTAAGCTTCTTCTCATCTAAATACCCTCCATGTTCTGTCCTTGGCTGGAAGACAGCACCCTGGCTGTGCCTGCAGCATGGTGCAGTTCCACAAGCACACAGAAGCACTCCTTTCTCCCTCCGACCCCGCAGCCAATATTGACGCTGCTATACGACCTTTGGGGCTGTAATTGGCCACCTCAGGAATGGGTGTTTGAGGGAAATCCTGCCCTGACTCACTCCAGCACTAGCTATCTTCACTACCACAGACTTCCGAAGGGCGCTCAAACCTCCGAGGCATTCGTAGGCATAGAAAGAGCTTCCTTGATATATCTGTCATCTTTCTTATGTGTATGAATGCATTCCAAGCCAAGCTGGGAAAGTGGGGGGAGGAGTTATTGTCACTGTTTCTAATACAGTTCATTGTTCATTATACCTTGCTTAGAGACACACAAAAATAAAATGCTGCCAGGTATTGTTCTAAAGTTTCTTCAACAAACCCAAATCCTTCCCTCCCAGGGATCTGTAGGCAGTTGATATGCATGTATTGTATTGTGTAAACAAAAATTCACCAAAATCCCATCACATGTCACATGTCACCTTGCCAAAACAGCTGTGTTTATGCCCTGGCATAATTGAAAAGTGTGTCAACTGAAACTTCACAATGCATCCCATTTAGCTTGTGCAGAATTCAGGAAGTCTTCTTTATGTCATAACCCTTTACAGTCTAACTTTCTCTGAAGGAAAATGCCATTCCTTTTTTTTATATATACACACACACACGTATACACACACATATATATACATACATATTTATACATATACATATATATAAAAACCAGCTGTTTAAACTTTGTCCAAGAGTACCAAAAACCTAATTTCTCCTATGGGATATGCAGCAAAATGCATTGCCCCTGAGAACCCTCCCATTGTGCTTAATGCAAACATCTGTGCAGCAACACAACAAAATCAATCAAGAAAATGATCTGTCTGAAAACTAAGCCAAGAAAAATAAATAACTCAAGATACACCACATTTCTTTTTCCCCTTTCAACTGGACAAGTCCTTTGTTCTGGTTCAGTAGATGGCCACACATCATGTGAGTAAGGACACACTCGCACAAGCGACAGGAACTACAAGAAGCTGGATTATGTTTTTTCTAGTTAGTGACTGCTTTCAGCTACAACATTATTTGATCTAGAAGAGCTTGACATGACAATATGACACTAGGCACAGTATCTGCTAAATCTTCACTTCATCACTCGCTGTAAAACTTTGGGGTTTTTCCATTCACTTGCTTTCTTCACTCATTTCACCAGTGAAATCACAATCTTTCATTTTATGTATCTATTTCACATAAAGAAGCTAACTGCTGAACTGTTAAGAAGAGCCACTTCAAGCTGTGTCCACAAAAACATCTACTAACTTAAGACATATCTTACAATTCAAGGTGTGAGTCTGTGCAAAAAAAAAAAGTGCATTCTTGAATATGCAGGCTGTGCATCTACTAGCCTAATAAACAAAGCAATTACAGAAACATGTTAATTAAAATCCCTTCAGGACAATTATCAGTCAAAAATGGATACACGTATTTATGAAGATATTAAAAGGCAACAGTGACTTTCAGTGTGCTGATTTCCAGAGAACAAATGAAATCAACACACAGTAGATTGCAATCAAAACCAAAAGTTGTACAAGATCAGCACCTCATCCTATAGCCCCTTCCCCTTTCATGCAGTAGCACTTTTGCTCCATCCACAAATTTACCTTTAATCAATATCAATTAATAAACTGAATTTACTTTTAGGCAACAAAAATAATGACTTCCAGTTAGCAATTTAAGCAAAATTTAAAACACATACATACAAAGCCCAACCAAGATATATTTCCACAGGAAAAGCTTAAATCAGTTACACCAGTGAGTGCAATTACCTGAGCTTGAAGAAAAGAGAATGAGAACTTTCCTGCAATAATAACAGCAGCAGCACCAAGTTATTTCATTAAAAGGCTCAATTAAAGCAGCCTACCAAGAGAGAGCGACAAGTGTCCTACCACTGGGAGAATTTAAAGTATTCCTGGAGAAAATACTGTCAACTACACAGGAGGGAACATTCCTCTGCTGGCAGCCAGCAAACTATGTAAACTGTATGCAAAACCAGAGTCACATATCTGCACCTACCTCTTCCATCTCAAAGGAGTCTTTCTGCTGCAGCATTAGATTCATTATGGACGGGTTTGCAAGGGGAGCGCAGGGGTCTCTGCCTGGCAATGCCGCAGGCAGCCTTTGTGTCAGGGTGCTGCTGTTGGAAGTACTGGAACTACTGCTGAGGCCTGGCGAGTCCAAAGGACCAGATTCTTCACACAGTCCATCCTGGGCACTTGCCAACCTGCTGTTTTGCACATCTGCCAGAGGCACAGTACCCACTTGCGTATCAGCAGTCCCAGCAGGAAGGTTTGCAGGTTTATTTGAGTCCACAGCATTTGTCTGACTACTGGCTATCTCCTCCTTTACAGTAGCCAAAGAAGAGGGAGAGTCTTTCTTTTTAGAGTATTTTTGTAATTTAGATTCATTTTTAACATCATTTTCCTCTCTCCCTGGTTCAGCTGGACTTTTCCCTTTTTCAACAGGTGAAGGAGTTGAGCAGCCGCTACCATCGGCTTGCTGTGTGCCACACAGATTGAGTTTTGACAAGGTCTTCATTAACCGACTGGCTGTATTGCTGCGATTTAAAGGGGGAGGGCTGGATGCCTCTTTGCTGGAAGAAACTGAATTCATACTACCAATTTTCTGCAAAGGAGTCCCAGAGACTTGAGAATACAAAGAAGAAAAAGCATTGGCCACAGTAGTAAGCACTTCAATTTGACGAAAACGACCTACACAAGAATGAAATGTAAGGCAGAGCTTATGAGGATGTTTATTCATTGCATCCCAGACCTATTGATCCACCTCTACACAATGGTTTGAATTCTCAGAGACAGCTCTTCATATCTGAAGAGAGAATTTTCATCATAACCTCTGCCCACCCTCTTCACCCCCCCAAATCTCCTCCTACTTCTAACATGGGCCCCAAAGACTGGCTGAAAACTGCCTAGTTGTGTAATGTGAAATTGATACCACACACTATGAAAAATGGAAAAACCTTTGCAAGAGTCTTTACTAAATGCAGAAGAACAGCATGGAAAGCTTTCATAAAATAAAAAGGGGACATAGGCATGCAAATGCAAGTTAATTTACAAAGTGCTAGGAAGAAAAGGGTTACTTACGTTGCTCTCCATTGAAAACTACAAGAGGACATTTCAGCTATGCCCTCATTTTAGCAACATTCATTACTGACCTAACAAAGCTCCTGTTCAGGTCGATAGAAATACTGGCCCAGATTTCAACAACAACAGAAGTAGGTCGCTGCTGACAGCTTTCAAAAATCCCACCCAGATACTGAAGAACACAAGAGACAGACAGCTATTGCTGTTTGTTTCAGTGCTGTAAAGCTACAGAAGAAGACAAGCTTATGAGCAAGAGACAGGAATGACACAAACCAGAAGGCAGTATATCTTACTGGATGCCTTTCATTTCCCTCCCCAACTATAAACCCCTACCCCAAGGTGTACAACACTGATGGTCACCTCTTGCCATATTTAAGACCAAGCAACAGTTTTACTACGGATTCCGAATAGAATTTTGTTGATGGCTGAAAAGGAGTTTGCCAGAATATTATATACACATCTTCTTTTGGGGTTGTTTACACAGTTCAAAAACTTAAAAATAAACTTTACTTCAAACCCATACTTACTTGTTAAAGCAAAATTTGGATTTTCCACTTCCATGCGCTGTAATTGGGCATTCAAAAACACTTTGATATCTATCCCTCTGGCAAACGATGATGAATTAAAAAATCTCGCTGGAATTTTTGAAGCAATATCTGGTTCATCTCTTCCAAACCCAAGGTTGTAAAGCACTTCTTCAGGATCTTCCTCATAAAGTTCCAGTAATTCAGAAACACTAGACAAATTAAAAGATGTTCACCATCTACTTTTCTCCTTTTAAGACCCAGTCCCTTTTGTCCAACTGTTAAGATGGTCCAGTAGCCAGCTTAGTCTATCGAACTTTTGACTCCTACAGCTCAGCCTACTTTAGGAAATAACTGAGATCTTTGCATCTGAAGTTTTGGTTCCCATCACCAGACCCATTGGCCCAGACACATCTCAGCTCCATTCTGTAACATATAAAATCAGCCCTCATTCTGCAGAGCTGTGATTTTAAAATGTTGTTAAAATTTCAGACGTTTCTAACATTGGGGCCCATTTGTTAGTATTTACTGCAAACCACAACTGAAAACAAACAGCAGTATTTCAAGCACCCAAATGAAAACTCCCTTCGTGGCTACTGAAGGGAATGCAACAATGCACATAAATCAAGCCAAGTCCATTTAACTGAGGAACAGACCTTCAAAGCATAATTACTCTTTTACCTTGAAACAGTTGCACTGCTTTTTCCAGACCCAGTAGAGTTCATACTTCTCCCCTTCTGGTGAAACTGCAACCTCTTCTCCTTCGCCAGCACACCATTGCTGTCAACATGAATGGAGAAGACCCCTTCAATAAACCACTTTCATTCGGGGACTTGGTTATCCTCAGAGGAGAGCTAAGCTTCCAGTGCTGCTGAATTTCTCTTTTCCCGTTCAGTGTTATCTGGTTTATATTAGCCATGTCATTTATTGAAACACAATAACAAAAGTGAACTCTGGGACGCCTCGGTAAAAATGTACGTAGACGGCAAGAATTTGAAGGCAAATGCAAGCTGAGAAAACAAATCCCTGATCTCCCTTTGCTGCCCCACCCTCCCCGATCCCTCCCTCATCCAGAGAGGAAGCCCAGCCTTGACTGAGCTGCCCTGTCCTGCACTTCCATGCCTTCCGTGTGCTCAGGAGGATGCTGCCCACACAGGCTGTGCCAGTATTTGCTGAAGTCTTAATGGGGTTTTAGTTTCAGCACATTTTAGTTACAAGCTCTCCCTGTAAAGCACGGGCCTCTCCTCTCTCCGTCTTTTTTTTTCCCTTCTCCCAAAGGAGATCTGCTCTGAAAGATAAAACTAATTTTTCCTTGAAATTTCTGAAATGGTGAGGGATTAGTGAGGCAAGGAAGGTAAATCGTACTAAATTACTTAGATTTGTCACTTCTCCGTTTTTCCTCCTGCTACCCCAAAATCTACATTAGGTCTGCTAGAAGATCTTTTTCTGCGTCTCCTAATGACTGTTTCTGTGTTATCTGGATCTTCTCCTTCCCTTTTATGTAAACAGATGAGAGCAGAACAGCTTTAGCTCTGAGGTAGCCTCCATGACTTCCACTGCCCCCTCTCCCTCCCACCCTCCAGAAGAAATATTTCCCTGAAGCAAAGAAACAAACAAAAAAAAGATGTTTACCGTGTTTCCATTTGTGTATCACTCCGTAGATGATTAGCTGTAGAGAAACAGAAAGTTACACACAGACCATTTCAAAATTACATTTCCCACAACCAGTATGAAGAAGCAGGCAGTGAACATGTTTACCAATATGCCTGCGTAAGCCAGATTTTTCTCTTCCCACATAAACATGATTGTCAAGGGTTTCTACGACACAGCTAATATAAAGGTGATTTGGTTATTCTGGTTAAAATAAAATCTCACATGAACACATGTTTATATAGTGTCATTAATCATATTAACTTGAAATATAATGTGTGGTAAGGTAGTAATTGTTACATACATCATTTATTGCTTTGCAATTGAAGACATGATTACCAGCTGCAGGGCTGTTCCTAGGCAGGAAGGGGAGAAGGAGAAGCAGGCATGCAAAGGAAGTAAAGAACGTAAGAAAGGCAGCTGGCCCCACAGCCCGGTACTGAGACTACAGTTGCTAGCCATCAGCATGGACTGCTCTTTACGTGGGGTAGGGCCCCAGCTGCCTGAACTGTGCAGTCCTAGGTGCAACAATTAGGTGAAGCCTGTAGTGCTGGTGGGACCAGTGTCTACCCTTGGGGATGAGAGGGCTCTGCCAGGAAAACCCTGCATCTCAAGGCACAGTGCCAGCAGGGAGCAAAACATGGAAACCTCACAACTTCTCTCTTGTTTTTAGAGGCATCATGAAGAAACTGAAATGTATACAAAATGCAGATGCCACATCTCTTTTTTTTAATATCCTTGCCTATAATTTGAAGGTAAGACTATATATATAGATTAACTGATGACTAGTTCGAACAGCTAAACCATGGGTTTTAACAGCTCAGAAGGGGACTAGGGTTACAAGACCCTGCCCAATGCCCTCCATACCACTCGCACAGGGCTCTGGGTTGTATCTGAATTCAGTCATGGATGCACAAGGGCAGGCCATTCATACCAGCCTCAATGGGATTGTCTGTCCAGCAGTGCACACAGCGCTGCCCCAGCAGCTCTGTTGTTCCCTTGTTCTTGGATGGGAAGCAAAGCCCAGCAGAAACACTCACATTCTTACCCACAAAAATCAACCAGTGATTCTAGTATTTGGACCTTTCTGTGAAAAGGAGGATAACAACCTTCTGCCTAAATCATGCTAAAGGCTCATAAAAAAAACCCCAGAAATCCTTGAGAATGATAAAAGCGAAAAAATTAAAAGAAAAAAGTGACATGATGCTTTAAAATATACTGACTTTTACACAGAAATTTTTCCTATGAAATCTTTGTACTGCATGTAGTCTAGCAAACAGAAAAAACTGTCAGAAAGAAAATTTAATCCTAGTTAATCTACTGCAGTAAGGGACTCATTTACTGCTTCTCCATCATTACCAGACCAAGGTCAACTGTTTTCCTTAGAAGTCTTGAATCTTTAAAAAATAAAGATATTTCCTTCCTCCAGGCCCTGTCCCACTAATTTGACACCACTGACAAGGCTAACTGGTGACTGCGGAAGAAAGGGCTTTCTACTGTACAAGTTCTGATGCTTTGCAAAAGCTATGGTTCAAACAACATTAAAAGCTAAGAAGGGCGGGGGGGGAGTGGTTTTGTCTTTTCTTTTTTTGTTTGTTTTTACACTGAAAACAAATATTGCCTTATATCCCCTATCCTGCAGATAACCCTAGGACCCAGTTTGTGAGACCGTTTTTCCTACTTTAGTTCCAAATGCTGCCGTTAGACCAGGATCCACAGTAGTTCTGTTTGTTTGCCTGTTTATGGACACCTTTAACCATTATCAACAGAGAGGCTAAAAGTCTTATTCTACAAAGAAGTCCATCATGAACAGCCACATCTCCTTCCCCTTAAAAAAGGGAAGAGAAGGAGAAGGTAAGCAGCCAGCAACAGTAAAGTGCATATTGTGGCTGATCCAAAATACTTGCTCAGTTTTGGTGCTTTTCATTTTTAAAAGTACTTAGCTCTTAACAGGTTTGCCTCTTGGCTGACAGAATTTCATTCCTTCTTTCTCCTCCAAGGGATTCAGTGGAAGTGGGGCATGCACGGCTACCAAAAGTAACCCATGGACAAGAAAAGCAAGTAGGAGAAACAACTTTCTCACAGCCTCAATGAGTGCTCCAGGCAGTGCTGCTGCTGTGGGCATTAAGATGAGAAGGCAGAAGTGAATTTCAGGGATGCCTCTGACCTCTGGGTTAGGCCAGAATGTTCAACACCAACAATAGTCTAACAAACTCAAAAAGCAAATCTTCCTGCATTTTTCTATGTCCTTCTCGCTGGCTTTCTAGGCAGGTTTTCAACTGCTTTTGACCAAAAGGAAAACGCTGTCTTCCAAAATAAAAATCAGATGACTGAACACAAATGGGTTTGGGGTTTTTTGCTAGAAAAATAGTCATAATCCTGCCACACCCACCTTCGGCTCCCAGGGATAAGTCATCTTCAAAACTTCCTCCATTTCTCACCAGCATGCCTGAAAATGTACAGTTAGCAGTTCAACAACTAGGCTTCTGCAGTGTTTTCAACAGCTTAAATAAAGTATCAGCAAGACACTTCAGTGGATACAACAGGATATAACCAGACTATTTACAATCCCTGCATTAGTTATACAGTAAAAATGCACTAAGAAGTGCAAAGTTACATTCAAGAACATAGAAAAATTATTTTGAAAGAGAACTACAACACTGTTTTGTGCTCAAGAATATCCCAAGTCAACCTGCAAGCCAACTAACTACAAGTGGGAACCTGGAGATACCACCCAACACATCTGTGCCTTCTGCTGTTATGTTATCTATCCTCCAGACATCTTACCATGGGGATCCAGAGTCTGAGTCAAGCTTAGGCATTCCCCTCTCCCTCCCTGTACCGGGTTAAGAGCTGAAGCAAAGACTCCAGGCACAGCAAGTAATTCCTCTGCACCCTGTCACTCACTACCTGCACATTCTCACTGTACTTCGTACTTCGTATTCGGTCCTGCTCAGATAGTAAAATTCTCAGGTGTGGCAACCAGAGTTATTAGAGGCAGAGAAAGCCTAACGCTCACCAGCTCAGAGAGGAAATTACAGCCTCCCTATTCTGCACATTTTGGGGGGTTGTTTTAGGGCTTACTAAACTCTTCAGAAAGACTTACTCAGGATCTTTTCCCCCTTCTCCAGTTTCTCAGGCACAACCGCTTCACAATGAGAATAACTGAGCAACGCTGACTAGACTGTGGTTTGTGCCGCTGCTAAAGAGACAAGGTCTCAGGTGGATGTCCACAAAAGCACCATTTCCAGCATGAGAGATTTCAATAGGTAATTGAAAAACTTGGAGAGAAGAAAAAGGCCTTTCCTTACCCTTCAACAGAGGATTGCTTTGCTCATCCAGGGAGGCTCCCAGAGGCGTTCTGAAACCACAGAAGAGATTAATACTACTTTAAAAACTTGCTGCTTCATGTCCTTCCTTACAGTGTGTAACAAGCTTGTGATAGCAGCAGTTGTCCCTCCCTCCGCCCCCAGAAAGCACAAACATCTGACTGGCAATAACTTCCTAAACAATCCCCAGCCCTCTGAACAAATAGGGAAAAACAACAGAACAGGTTAATAACTGCAACACAAACACTGAGCAGTGGCAAAGCTTCAGGGTCACAGCCCTCTGCAGAGGGAAATCATGTGCTTTTCATCGAAACACCCAGAAAAAATGAGCATGGGTTTCTAAATGGGCTAATTCAATCTCATCTGTATGACAAAAACTTCTGTCATTTTTCTACACATGCAAAACTTCTTGGAGAGAGGGGTGAACAGTTGTATTTGGTGATCAGGAACAAGATAAAAATCTTGACAGCTATGTTAGCTGTCACTTGCTGGCTCTGATATGTTATATACTTTTCACATTGCCTCTTACTTGGATGATCCCTCCTATCACTGCTCCCTGAAGAGCAAGGGATTTGCTGAACCTCACAGTGCCCAAAAGGAGCAACAGAAACTGCACAAATGTCAGCTCCCATTCCTCTCCGGGTTCACGCTACACTTGTTGACACTAGCTGGATGTTTCCACATCTTGTCTCTGAGACTTGTTTAACCAAAGGCCTGTCACTGTACTGCAGCATTAACCCTCAAAGCCCAAAACAAGTTCAGAAATACAATACTCGAAGAAGAGGAAAGTAGGTGATTTATGTGCCTATATTATGTATGTTTCACTTGGGTTTTTAATTAGACAAACACACAAACCTGCCCAAAGACCTAAAAGTAAATAGTGCTCTGATACAGTATTTGTTTTGGTGCCATGGCCAAATGAAGCAAGGAAAGTTTGCATCTGGTTTCTAACAGACCTTACACTTCACAACCTTATTTTTCTTTCCCTTCCGAAAAAGAGTTCACTCTTTCCACGTGTGGCCTGCTGATAGGGAGCAGGCTCACTTCGACGTGTCTTTTTGTGAAGCAAAGCCCAACCATGGTGAGACACCAAGGCAAACAGCCAGAGCATCTATGCGTACGAGCGTGTTTCGGGTGACAGGACAGACTCTGCCGAGGCTCTGATCTCCCAGGTTTCTGCCTGTCTGCCCTGTTGGGGTTTGAAAAAGCTTAGGGCAGATTGTCTAAACCTGTCAGGCTACAACAAGCCTTGTGTTCTGAGGTAATAACTATGCCTGTTTACTCTCTGGCTTTGATGGGTGTGCTCCCATACTACTCCTTCCCTGGTGGCTGCTTCCACGTCTCTACCTTTTCAATGCAGAATCTTGCTGGTGGTGACTTTAACAGCCAAGGTCAGTGCTGCACGCACCAGCTGGCAGAAAACAGTAAAAGCAACCACCGAAGCTGGTGTTTTCTTTTAGGAATTATATCTGTCACCTCTACAGCATGTGAGCAGCCACCAGAAAAGCAGCCCTGTCAACCACCCATCAGAAGCCCTGTTTGCACTGCTGCACACAGGTACAGCAGCTTTATACTGTGCCTTTGAAAAACTTGCATACAAGAACTGGACATGACACGAATTTAAAAAAGGGACAAGTATCCATGCAAAAATACTCTTGGACAACATCACAGACAGCTCTGCCTTTCTGTGCCAGAATGTTTTTCCACCAGAGAAAAACAGAGCAGCCCTGTGCACCTGGGAAGGTTAGGGCTGGGGGACCCTTCCACTTGCTGGGTCCTCAGGATAAGGTCTCCCTGTCCACGACACATCATGGCAGGTCCCCAGCATGTGCCAGCAGCCTTTGCACTGTGGCCAGGAAGGCCAATAGCAACCGGAGGGCAGCCAGAGCAAAGAGCAAGTAAGCGGGCATGCATCTAGATCAAGAGATGCTATGGTTTTCCATTTCCATTCACTCATTTATTATTGTATTCTAATATACATGGTAATAAATTCTCTCAATATCAGTCTACAAAAGAACTGAATGAACTCTTAAAGCCCACATTGCCGTGGGATGCTGGTACTAAGCAGGTAAAAAGATGTTACGCAGCATCAAGGCTTCCTCTCATCGCAGAGGTTTGTTTGTTCAGCTACCAGTTGTGGTAAGGTGGTCTTCAGGAACAGGACAAGGGTTTTGCACTGTGCCGTGAAAGTTTAAACCTCAGCTTTTAATGCCTTAATTGGGCAGGAGCCATGTTTATTTTAAACTTGAAGGAAAAAATCTCTTCTTTCTGAGGCATTTCAAGAACTCACTTCCTGCATATCTACAGGAGATGGCTCCTAAATACCTCCTGCATCCCCTGTATTACTGGCAGTGTTTAAATACACTCAACCAAAATAACACATGTCACCATAGAGCTGACAAAAATTTCTTCTTTTCTATCAGTATAATACAAACACTTGTGTTTCCTGTCTTAGCTTTACAAGAGTTGAAATGAAAAGCCTTTGTGAACTTTCTTATTACTTCAAAATGCCTTTTCAAAGTACCAGGGAGAAAGCTAAGGGTGATTCTTAAAACATGAATTAACCAGACACTTTGAGTAACATACGACATTTCTTAAATCTTTATAATTCTATCACAATATGATACATATGTGGGTTTTTGTTTTGTTTTTGGTTTGGTTGTTTTTAACGCAATCAACAGCAAACCACCAACTCCCCCCCCAAACCAAAACACATTTATCTACCAAATTAAATAGCACGGGATATTAGGAACCCTCCTCTGTCCTCCAAAGCAGATGTGAAACAGAGATGCCAAGTAATAAGAGCCCCAAATCACTAACATGAATATCAAGGGACAGCTAGTAATTCTTTTTATCCATATTATAACACTGTGGATGCTTTTGGAAACAAACAAAGGAATAAATCTTATAAGCTGATCTATTTATGCAGTGGGTTGATACTACGGTTTTTTGTGCTGCTACCAACTGAAACCAGAAAATGAGATTTTAGAAGTGCCAATTTTCTTCTGATGTGTACTTCACAAAAAGCTCATAGAAACTCTGACAAAATGGGAAAGACTGCTTTTAGAAAATATGTAACAGAAAATACTTAAGTAACTGAATGTTCACTTGCAGTAAGGGTTATTTTTTTTTTGCAACAGGGCTAACTTGAAAGAATAAGGCTCAGAAATAGAAGCTCAGCCTGTGTATGTTGCCCACACGTTGTAGCAATCAAAGCTCCACCAGTGTTATTAAACAAGTAACAATTTTCAGAGAGGCCAACAATCGTAGATTTCACAATTGTTGGTTTTAAGTATTCTTTTTTAAACACCACACTATAGTACCTGTGGGAGTATTCCATCATCTGGTTTTTTTTCCCTATGCATTGTTACCAAGAGACAATCAATGCAGGGTTTCTATACATACATTCACTTTGTAACAGTGCAAGTTGAATAGTCATTTTACTGCACATACTAACTGCTGCTCATATGCATCTTAGATACAAAAAATATGAAACCATCCTGCAGTTTTAAAACACAAGGGAGTGTGCACCACTTCAAGCAGCTGGCATTGCACCTCCCAGATAGGAACCATATATGCACATACGCACATATTCTACACGTTACAGAGCCAGAGCCTAACTCCAGTCTGAGTAGCTCAGTTTAAGAGATTTAGAAAAAAAATGCAAATTTTATCTTCCGAGAACACAAGATTCTTCTGTAAAGATTTACAACAGTTATTAGCTATACTTTAAAAGACTTCTGTGGAAGGGCCACAGTGGGTTTCACAGACATGCATTAACTAAATTTGCATCTCTGTATTAGCAAAAGGGTAAACTCATGCTTTATTTCCTTATGTGTAAAGTATGGAAATAGTGTAAAATAAGATTCCCATATTTTAGGAATCAACTGCCAGAGATGGAAACACATTCCACAAAAGCTTTTGGTGCCAGTTTTAACAACAGAGAGTTACCAGAGCACTGGAATAAACCTTCAAGCTTTCTGCTATTACTCAAGATTTGTGACCACCTATTAGATGTTCACATTGTCAGTTTGCAGTTTTGTGCTATTCCCTAAATTCTGTATGAAAATGGTAAAGATCACAGGGTCGGGGAAGGTTCTAGAGGGAAATCCTGCAGATACAAAGAGAAGTGGCACTGCAGCATTAGGAAGAATTTCTCCTTCAGGAGCCTCTTCACTCTCTACTCCTCCAACACCCCCTGCAAGGCACAGCCTGTAAAGATGTGAAGAAAACTATACCAAGGACCCTTTAGCTATACAGCAACCCACACTGCAGTTACAGGAGTAAGCTCAGTCAGCCGCTTTCTGGATCAAAAGATCACAAAGGCACGGCTATTGTCAGATGTAAACTGTCATCTTAATGTAGCTGCTCTCAAAAGGAGAAGGAAATCAGAAATATCAAGTTGAGGATGTCTTGAAATGTCATTATTAGCTACTGGAAAGGTAATTGTTAACTTCTCCCCATCAACTCTGGTTTGAAGGGCTCCTAGGATTGAATGGAGAAAAATACAAGACAAAATCGGCTGCTACTGGATGTAGCATTTATGCTATTATGTGACTGAGGATGAAGAAAAAGTAATCCTGTCAGCCTGTCACAAAAGCCAGGGAAGTATTTTGTAACAGTAACAGAAATGTGCAATATATATACCATGTCTCAAGTTAAGGACATTGGAACAGACCTGGATAAATCACGTTAGTCTAAATCACGCCATCACTCCTGAAGACCCCTATGCACAGAGGCCATTACTGTGGAAGCACTGTTTCTTCAAATCTGCAGCAAAAACCAGGCAAGCCAACAGGAAGCTTTAAACTGAAAGCCCTCGGTGAGAGGCAAAGCAGCTTCCAAACCAGTGCTGCCTTCCTTCCCCTCAACTGAGTTCCTCACCCAGTGACTGGAAGTCTTCAGCCCCGTTAAAAAGGCAAGAAGGAGAAAAGAGGTGCCAAAAGCCAGCTCTTCCCTAGCCATTCGTACATACGCTACCACTCCCCTTGTAACCCCAGCTGATGGCATAAGCCTCCCACTACCGAAGAATACTTCTATATACTCCAGGGAGGCTCGGGGCAGCGTCAATGCCAAACTCGGCTCCAGAGCGCCGAGATGCCCCTGATGACCCACAGGAGAGAACGTCGCCGAGACCTTCTCTCCTTCGCGACGTGGGAGCTGCGCGGCCCGCCACCCCGCCTGGGGACCGTGGGCTCCTGTCCCGCACCCGCAGTGACCCACCTGCAGTCCTTCAGCCATATCGCGATCTTCTCGTTGGGAACG